CCACCCTCTAGAACGCCAGCGTCTGGTCTCTCCCTCGCCATTTTGACTTTTTTCTTTGCTTTTTTCTGGGGGGGGGGGGGGGGGGGGGGAATCACAAGTCAAATACTCTGATTTCTTTGACTTAGAACTTTGAACTCCACCGAGTTATCTTTATTTTCAAGCAAATAAGCATCCCTTTTATAGTTTTACATCATTACTCTATACAATATAAATTATCTAATTAAAGCTATAATTCTATGGAAGTTTCAAAAAGCGCGAAAGCTACTAAAGCTACTAAATCCACTAAATCCGCTAAATTCGCTAAATTCGCTAAATTTGCGAAATCCACTAAATCCACTAAAGCTACTAAAGTGAATTTTACCATTACGGTAAGGATTTTCTTTCAAGTATTAACTAGATTTTTCTAATAAAGGAAAACAAATCGTTCAAGTTGACGCAAAGTCAACAGATCGAAAAGACAGCTAAGCAGAGCACGCCAGCAATCACGTGGCAGACCAGTCAGGACAAGATAAAACCGGATCGCAGATAAACCTGATAGGGACGTCTAAGAAGCCTTATCAGGCAAATCAGAACATCAGCGTCGCGTGAATTCAGATGAGTATAACGTAATCAACTGCTTATTTTGGGAGCACAAAATTCTTACTAACAATAGCGCATTGTTAACCAGTTTAGAATATAAAGAAAAGCAGAGAAAATCGTCATATTAACGAATGCGAAAAGCAAAAAAGATTCGCATTTAACTAAAAAAAAAAAACAAAAACAAAAAATATGAGTAAACAGAAGACACGAAGCCTGGCCAAAAACAGAAGCGAAAGCTCTATATCAGAAAAGTCAACAGAAACTATAGCAGCGCCTGGCAGCCAAGAAAGACAAGATACAACAACTGATATAGAAGCAAGAATGAAAGAATATGTGGACGTGGCAATTCAGGCCACAATAGCAGCATTAATAAGAAACATGCAACAATACATAGACCGGCAAGCAGAAACCCAGCGAGAATAGAACACACGGCTGACGAAAACAATCAACCAAAAATTTGCGCAACTAGAACATACAAGAATACACAACGAAACCCAGAACACACTCAATGAGCAACCCCCAGTAAGGCAGCAATCACAAAGTAACCAGCTAAGTAACCAGCAGAACATGGCTGGGGTGGTAGCAGATTTGGATCTTCCACAAGGTAATTATCCCCCAACACCCGTAATTAACAATCTAATAATGAGATCAAGTACAGAAAGTCAGGACAAAGAAGGGAGGGACAATAGTGACTTGATAAGTTATAAGATAACAAACAGAAAGTACTCGTCAATAATCTATATGGGTATTGAGAAAATACCTGCGATCCAAGGCTTTAGTAATCAAAAAGCTATAGAGACAGAACAGATCCGGCTATGGTGGG